AACAGCAACTGACAAGCCTGACATTAACTTCAGAAAACATGGCCAGAACGTTGACGTCAAAGATGAAGAACACACTGGTGTCGGCACAAAATGTAGCCGGACAGGCGATCGAGCAAGTTATCTCGCCAAACTCATGTCTAGTGCCAAAATTACTTTAGCCACCGAAAGTTATCTACAGAGTTTACTGAAAAACCCCTATATAATCCAATGCCCAGATGCCTATAACGGAGTACAGGAAGCCCTGAAATACAAGTGTGGGGTGTATCCTTTAGAGAGCGCAATTTTGGCCCCTCTTCGAAAATGCAGCGAGAGAAAAAATGCCATGGCGTTGCTTGGATTGAATTCAGGTCTGCACCTCTACGATTTAGAGACCAGAACTTTCAGTGAAATCAAGCTCGAGAAGGTAAAAAGGAGCTACAGATTCTTTTTGTCTTTTGTCTCTCTGGGGTCAAGACTTGCCTTCTTGTGCACAGACGACTATAGAAATTGTTCTTTTGCCAGGCACACATGTCCTCTTTATACTGTCTTCTTATTAGACGAGAACAAAAATGTATCAACATTGTATGAGTTGTGCGGTCAATACACATCAGTAAATGCTTTATTACGGGTAAATAACAAGATTATTTGCTTCCAAGAAAAATCTTACTCTGTTGCAACCAGATGTCGCATAGCAAATCCAGATTTATTGAACACAGTCACATTAGACTATGGTATCGACTTTATTCCCGTCTGTGTTTTTGAAAACGATATTTTGATGGTTAATCATAAGGATTTTTTCAATGACCGAACTGACGGTTTTCCAGTCTACTTTTACAATCTAAAAAAAAAGTCCCTAACCTCAACCTTATTACTAAATGTTGGTGATCAATGTGCTGACCCCGTGGCAATACACAAAGACGGAGACACGTTTCTTTTACTCTCAAGCGGAGTTTTACTCTCGGTCAAAAGAGGTTCTGACAACGCAGTACAGTTAACACCGGTAGTTCGTCTTTGGACTTTTGAATGGTGGCTGAGTGGAGCAGTGTGCTATAAAAACGAGCTGACTTTGTTTAGTGCATTAAACCCTATAGCATTTGGAAATATTTTGACGTCCGTGCCGGGACTGTTTGACAAGATCAAATTTGTCGAGCTGGGCATGAAGTTTAAGATAAAAAATATGGTGCCCGTGGTAGCGCCTGTGTCTTGGTTCGGGTAATCTGCTGTGAGGTTCTGGCAGTGTTTTGTTTTGTTCCGTCGTCTGCTGTCACAAGTCATTAAATAAAAGTCGTCATTCATTGAGAACTATCGTAGGTAATCAAACACATTACCCCAAATAACGATTGAAATTATCTGTGGCTAAACACATAATATAACTTTAACGTTTGACCAACTATTTCTTGTGGCTAAACACATAATATAACTTTATCGTTTGACCAACTATTTCTTCAATTTTTTACTACAGATGACCTATTTAAGGAAAATAAGCAACATTGATCTAATTCCATCGCAAAAGAAAAATTTATACGTTCTGTTAAACTAGAATGTTCTTTTTGATTTTTTACTTTGTATTGTCATCAGCTTAAACATTGCCTTCCTAATATGTCTCATACACTATCTTCAACATTATACTCCAACAGCAATTACAGCAATCACTGTCTCCATAGCTGCTGTCCCCCCCCCCCCCCCTCACCCCCCACACCTCAGTCTTCACCGATCAGCCTTCAATTTAACAGCTATCACTCTAAACAGCTTAAACCCCAAAAGCCTAAACCCCACCAACCTGAACCCTAACATTCTAAACCTCAAAAGCCTTCATTCCAACAGCCTATTTCTCCTTTTATTACATTCAAACTTGTTATTAAACCGTTTTTTAGCATTATATTTCAGTACTTTAATTTTTGTTTATACAATAAAGTTGTATGACCAAACACTATTGCACAGGAAAGGAACATGACCATAAGAAATGCGGGTATAATATCGCGATAAATATGACTTTATATAGGAACATTTTATTAATTATTTAACATTAATTTAGCATCCGATATTATGTAAAATGAGATTACCAACGGGGCTAGATTCTACGTGCTAAGTTTGAAACAAATCGGTCAGTTATAATTGATCCAAACTTCGCTGGGCAGTTTTGATTCATGACAGACACACAGACATACGAATCAAGTAAATAAATGCATGTCACAACAGCCTGAAATGGGAGTAAAACGGCTTATAAGTTGCATATAAACTTTACACGTAATACTTAATTGTGTTGGAAGAAATTCCTTGATTTTAAGATGATTAAAAATATGCTCATCAAATACACGAGAAATGCAGCTTTCCAATGATGCCAAATACAGTATGATGACGGATATATTCCAACCTTATAATGTAAAACGAAGCAGAAGAGTGCGTGTGAGTAATGGATATAACTAAAGTGTACAAGGATGCAAAATTCTCCATAGATTTACCAGTGGAAGTTAATAATCCCGTATGCATAAAGCTATTGAAGAATAGTGTATTATATGGGTACATGGAGCTATTGAAAGGTTTAACTTGCGTTTAAGGAACTATAACTAAAATCGAATTGTCAATCTTGTAGGGAAAATGCAACTTAATAATGTTAAATGTAACTTTAATTTAATTTCACATTATGACGTAAATTGTGAAATTAAAGTATTTCTACATTTCTACATTATCAAATTCGTTTAGTGACGAAAGTTAAATATGATTTTTTTTTCTAATTAACTAATCGATACGACCAGGCCCTGCACTGGCCTTTAAATAAAACTTACAAATAAAGTTAATATGAAATCTCTACGACCCCACACACACTCCACAAACCCTGGCACAAATATTAACATTAAAATATCAAAATATTAATTAAAGTATGTTGGTATATAACTTATCACTTGTTTATTTAGAACTTTTATCTGTTTAATTGCAATGCGAACTATATGTATGAGGATATAAAAATAATATAGAAAGAGTCTAAAGCGTTACCGTATTGATATTCTAAAACGGGTCTCCAAACTTTTCAGTCCGAGGGCCGCATTAGCTATCAAATTTCAGTTCAGGGGCCAGTTTCTTACAAGCATGTCTTTGATTTTTCTGGGCAAAGTTCCTCAGAAATCACAGGCAAACGATTTTTTGTTGGACAAAAACATCTCCGCGGGCCGGATGAGAGGACTTCACGGGCCGCATCCGGCCCGCGGGCCGTAGTTTGGAGATCCCTGTTCTAAAAGAAAAGAAACTAATATAAAAGTTTTAAAATGCATATTAAGTTGAGTTGGTCATTTATACAGATTATAAAATCGCGTCAAATTAATTGTGTTTGCCGTCATTAAACTGCAATTCTCAAATCAACACCTTATGACAAAGATGTATTTTGATTTGTATTTTTTTCTACAAATTTCTTAACAAATATATATCTGATGAACACGCATACATTTGACGTAACATGGAACTAAAGGATACAAACAATAATATAGAAGCAAAATATTTCTACTACATTATATCTCCATTGTGTCCTGGACAGTGAGACGATTGATGCAAAATGGAAAAATGCGCAACAGAAAATGCGCACAAAAAGTTGCAAGGACATTTTGGTTTTCTTAAATTTTACATTTAAAAAAACAGTCACCACATGTATACTGTAGCATAATAAAAACATATTAGCACGAAATATGTCAAAATTAAAGTGTATTAGTATAATTAGTTAGTATTTGCGTATTTTCCATTGAATAGTTTTCAAATTGCGCATTTTCTAATGTATCATCTTTGACATCTGATAGAAAAGACGATTCACACTAAATACAGCATAAGATTAGCTGTGGATGTGTCCCAGGATTTAAGCAGATTTAATACCAGAAATGGAAACAATACTACTACAACTCTATCTGTGTCGGTATTGTAGTAGTTTTCTACATTTAAAAGTAATTCTCTAGCTCAGCACTTTAAACTAAATAGAAACTATTACAACTGATCCCAATGCCCTAAGGCTATTTGTACATAATCTTAAATCCTTAACTTTTTATGTAAACATCAATGAAAGATTTTGTTTATCTTGAAAGGGTTTAATAAAAATAAATTTCTTGCACATAACTATTACCTAAAAATCAGACAACGATGTCTATTGGCAAAGCGAAGTGAAACGAATTTCCTTAATGTGTTGAGGACCTTAATGGAGGCGAGCGATTTGACGAGAATCCTTCCATCGTGTTGTTGACATGGAATAAAAACGTGCTTTTTTAGATTTAGCAAACAAAGCAACCATAAAAATAATAAATAAAAACGTAAGCCTAAAATTAATTCAGAAATTTTTCATTTTTAGTTGAAACTCAAGAGAACTTGAAAAAAATGTGTTGAGTTTAAGACTATATTTCTATTTATTTTCATTAAGCGTAAATTTAACCGGATGTTTCACTCTTGTATGACAAATATTGATTGGCTATACAGGAACTCCGTGATCGATAACTATTTGTTTACAAAAAAAATTAGATATAATTTTTAAATAACATTGCAAATTCAAACCACATGACCTACTTTTCCTATTTTTTTCGCTTACAATGCGTAAAATAAACAATTTGGCAGCCTATCGAATAGCAGGATGCCATTGTTTATGTCGCCATTTCACGTAAAAACCAAATTTTTGCTTTTTTAAAATGTTTATATAGTTACCGAAAATATTAAAAACATCCAATACATCTAATCCTTAGTAAAGTCCAAAAACAAAACAGACAGACAGGATTTTATAACCATATTTATTGTAACTACGTCTTGCATGCTTTTAAAATTATTTAATGACCTCTCGAATACTTTCTCGCCCGCGTCCATTAAATGGCTTCACCTGGTGAAAAACCAAGCCTCCCCCCCCTCATATGTAAGTCTACAGATTCCTATTAAAAAAATAAAAACATTAAGTTATTTAAGATCTACGCTTTTTCGCACCAAGAATTTGGTTTCTAAATATGTCAGCTTAATCGAAAGACAACGCAAACATTTTATTTTTAAATGAACGGATTGCACATTTTTAAGGCAACTTCAACTATTATTTATTTACATTATATTGCTCTAAAATTTTTACACTTAAAATCTTCTAAAATCTAAAGGTAACATTTATGTTTAATTTATCAGATAATAATAAAACCTAGCCCTGCAGCTTTATGATTTCTCAACCATGTAATGGACAATATAGGTTTATAGCTTTCTTTCCACTTAATTATATCTGGAACGTCTTTTCAGAATTTTTGTTTGTTTATGTATTTATATTTAGAATAGTCTGTCTTTATTGATAGTGTATATAGTTTTTAACTGTACTGTAAGTTGTGTAATTCCGTTTTGTACCTGTTTTCTGTAAGGTGTGTGAGAATATGTGTGATTATCCCAGTTTAGTCCAGTTCTCCTAGAAGGCCAGTATGGGTTATTTCTGTACTGTTAGATAGCCACTGTATCTTAGCTTGTGTTCAACTCGTTCTAGCGTAAGTATTTGTATTTAGAATAGTCTGTGTTGTGTAGATAATGTATATAGTATTAATCTCTTTTAGTTTTAACAAGCCGATGTTTCATTAAAATTATTTTTGTTTTGTAACCCGTTTTAGTTGTTCGTCTTGTATGTTGCATAGAGCACTTGACATCTAAAGCAGTGTCCGTGTGTTCACTATGCCTAGACGCATTTGTTTTTCTAACTTTCAGGTTACACGTCATAAGTTCTACCATCAGACCAAGCCACATCCACGAGGGTACCCGAAATTATCAAGTTAAGATGTAAGCCTTTGTAGGAGTTGACCCAGCTCTGATCACCACCTAAACATAGAATGTTTCCTGAGTTCACCCAACGGAATGGACTGTTGTGCATAAGTACTTTACCTTCATCTGCCGTTGTAAAGAAAAGATGAACAGTACTTCATCAGCCGTATGAAACATCAGGTACGAAATGAAATTACTACTTGTAAGTAATACATAATACAGACAGATAAAGTCAACCCATTACTAAACTTACCCTTGAAGGTAACCTTAAAGACTAATTTAATCATTCTCTAACGCTAATCCGAAAAGTAAAATTAAAATATAATAGTAACAGTTATATTTAAGTAGTACATAAAAACAATATGAGAAGCTAATCTCCAACGATACTTATATTCTGTCATTACTCAGCATAGAGTGAATAAAAAGTACCCATGAAACAATATGACTCTCCTGTGCCTAATCCTAGCGTTGATATTATTCACAATTACACTAAGATTGGTAAATTTATTCAATCACAAAGAAGTAGTTAAGATACTGTTTAGAAGTTGGCATTCTATTGCGCGGATGATGTAACATTTTGAGTAGTTAGTGTATCCAGCGCTATGTCCGATCATCTTTTCTTTACGTGAGTCAGGTTTCTAACTGAGCAGGGTGGACTCAGGGCCATCGTACTGACTCTATCCAGGGATTCGAGCTCGAGTCTTTAGAGTTAGCTGTCATGACTTCCACCATCCCACCACACCGACAGGCTTTCACTAAATCTTAACCTTAACAAACATATATTTTCAGATGTACACTAAGAGATCATCGCGCCACTTTTAAAAACTGAGATCAACATCAACAAACTTAAAAATGGCTGGTACTCCAACATCGAACGACGCGTCATGTGATTTCACCATCGTGGTTGACGGCACTGAATTTAAAAGCCACCGGGAAATCCTAAGTTCAACATTAAATTACTTCGACGCCTTGTTTAGAAGCAACATGAGGGAGACAAAAGAAGGGAGGGTGGAGCTACAGGGTATGACAAGTGAGACTTTCACTGTTGTGTTAAATTTCATCCACCAGCGTGTCCATGGTTTGACGGCTGATAACATTGATGACATCTGGGATGCAGCCAATCGTCTGGATATAGCAATATATCTTAAAGAAATAGAACATTTTGTGATTGAAAATTTATCCATTGATAACCTATGGCACTTTTATTTAAAAGCAGTCGATTACAATTCTAACAATGTCAAAGACGGTTCGCTAATGTTCATGATGAAAAACTACGAGCACGTTTTTAGAATGAAAGAGTTTCTGAATTTGCCTTTTTCTTCAGTGTTATCTTGTATTGAAGGTGACGAGTTGAATATCAAAACAGAGGACTCAGTTCTGGAGTCAATTTTAACCTGGGTTTCAGACGGAAATAATTACAAACAAGGTGCTTGTATGACGCGTGATTGCAGCGAAAAGAAAATCGCGTGTAAGGATGATGGACTCCAGAACAGTGAGGGTCACTCTCGTGAAGTCACTACTTCTGTTGGTCAGATTTGTGACTCAGGAACTGTAAATGAGGATGGCGAAACAGCAACTGACAAGCCTGGCAGAAAACAAGGTCAGCACGATGACGTCAAAAACGAATAACAAACTGGTGACGTCACAAAATGTAGCCGGATAGGCGATCGAGCAAGTTATCTCGCCAAACTCATGTCTAGTGCCAAACTTACTTTAGCCACAGAAAGTTACCTACGGAGTTTACTCACAAACCCGTATATAATCCAATGTCCAGATACCTATCACGGAGTACAGGAAGCCCTAAAATACAAGTGTGGGGTGTATCCTTTAGAGAGCGCCACATTGACACCTCTTCGAACTAACAGCGGAAAGAGAAATGCCTTGGCGTTTGTTGGAGAAGATTCATGTCTGCACCTCTACGATTTAGAGAACAGGAATTTCTGTAAACTCAAGCTTGAGAATTTCAAAGGAAGCTACAGAAAGGTTGTCTCTGTAGTATCGCTGGGGTCGAAACTTTGCTTCATATGCGAAAGGTACTTAAGAAAATGTACTTTCGCCAATCATAAATGCCGCCTCGCAACTGTCCTTTTGATGAACGAGAATAACAATTTTTCAATATTATATGAATTGTGCGGCGAACAGAACTCGCTGTGTAATTTATTTCGTGTAAATAACAAGTTTATTTGCGTCAAAACTAACAATGGTTTTGCTACAAACAGAAGTCGACTACTGCATCCAGATTCACTGGAAATATACGTATTAAACTCCTATATGGGTTTTTTGTCCGCCTACGCTTTTGAAAACGATATTTTGATGATTAGTTTAGAGGATTTTTTAACCAATCAAACTAATGATTTAATAGTCCACATTTACAATTTGGAAACTAAGACCATAACAACAACCAAAATACCAAATGTTAGTGGACAAGATTTTGTTGCTATAGCCATACACAAAGACAAAGAAACTTTTATTTTACTCTCAAGCGGTGCTTTACTTTCGGTCAAGAGAGGTTCTGACAACGCACTCAAATTCACAACAGTAGCGCGTCTTTGGACAAATTTTCTATGGTGGCTAAGTGGAGCTGTTTATTATAAACACGAGCTGACTTTGTTTTGTGCAGCAAGCCATTTGCCACATGGGACGGTGGTGACGTCAGTCCCAGAACTGTTTAAGAAGATCAGTGTCGTTGAGCTTAGCGATAAGCTTTGGACCAAAAATATGGTTCCTGTGATGGCGCCCTTGTCTTGGTTCGGGTAATCAGCGATGAGGTTTTGGCAGTGCTTCAGATGTGCCATCGTCTGCTGTTACCATTGTTTTGAATAACAGTCGTCAGTCACGGAAAATCAACGTATGTCGTCAAACACAATATGCCAAAAAAAAAAGAGTGAGATTAACTTTAGTTCAGTGCATCAGATAACTATAAAATTCTATTTCTTTGATGTACAGGCTATAGAAGAACCTTCTGTACAATCAGCTACCTTGATCTAATACCATCTCAACGAAGACCAGCTAGTTTTATTATAACGTTATACGTGTATACATCACTATTTACACATTATCTTGTGTCTTTTTTTTTTTATAATTATCACATTTACGCTGTCGGCTATTAAAATAAATAAAAATTCAAAATTTTCAATTTAAACAAAGATTTTAGTTTTACATATAACCAGTGGGGGAACTAGAAATCAAAGGCTCCCCCGCAAAGAAAAAACTAGGGCCCTCTCTCTCTCTCTCTCTCTCTCTCTCTCTCTCTCTCTCTCTCTCTCTCTCTCTATATATATATATATATATATATATATATATATATATATATATATATGTTTATTTATTTATATATAGTCTATATCCTAACTGAGTAATTTAGTCTACTTCATTGCAATATATAACCATTCTGAGAGAACAAACCAGAAAAAATTTAGTCCAAAGTCACCCCCTGGTGATAAATATTCATAAAAATGCTGGTCAAAAATATATAAAGACGTTAGCTTGCTTCGTGAATGGTTTCTCGCGTTATGTTTATTTTTTTCATTTTTGGCTTTTATAATATCAATTTTGAAAACATTGATTTTTATAGCTATAATATTTTATAGTACGTCTTATTTAAGTAACAATTCAGAAAATCAATTGCTTTTTAATATACATAGTACAAAACTATTTAAATGAGCTTCGTGGGCATCCCTATTTTAAAGAAGGGCAGTAAGTCATGGAAGTAGTGCGAATGTTTACCTACCTTTCAAACTATAGCTCTTGTAGATTTTAAAATATTTTTCTACGCCCACAATCTCTGCTATGGTAGACCTGTTTTTTTTTTTTTTTTTTTTTTTTTTTTTTTTTTTTTTACAAAACCACTTTCAAGATGCATAAAAAATATAATTTTTGAAAACAAAATTCATTGTTTTTTTGTCGGAACTGGGCCCCTAAACGTCCTGCCCCCCCCCCCCCCCGCATTGCGGGTTCTGGCGGTATGGTAGTTCCGCCCCTGCATATAACCCTACAATTAATTTTTACTATTATAATTTTTAATGTGACTTTCCTTAAACACAAATACATCTATTGACTTCCCACGTGGTCCTCTATGTAGAGGGGGTGTAAGCAGGCGATATTTTACAACATTACGAATAAAGTGAGAGTGATCTCCCCTAAACACTATCGAATATTCGTACACAATTTTGACTTTGCAGATTTGTTGAAATCAAGACTTTTTTTGAGAATATTTTTTTCAAATTTTGCTGATTTGTTAAAATTAGGATTTCGATTTTTGCAGTTTTGATCAAACGACGACTTTGATTTTGGCAGATTTGTTAAAATCCCGTTTTCGGTTTTTGCAGACTTGATGAAAACACGTTTTTGATTTTTGCAGATTTGTTATAATCATTTTTTTCGATTTTTTGCAAGTTTTCAATACTTCGTCTATGCTTTATATACGCTTAATTAAAAATAATTCATAAAAACGTTTAATAATAAGCTTTTGTGTAATAATGCACTAAAACTAGTAAATAAAATTATACACTACTATTTTAATAACTATAAAGAAAAGCGTGGCTCACTTTTGTATTTATTGGATACTTTTACTAATATTTTGGATGACGCCCATGCTTTTCTTTTTAGTTATTTAAATAGTAATGTATAATTTATTTGCTACTTTTTAGTGCATTATTACATAAATGCTTGTTATTAAAACGTTTTTGATAAAAACAGTTCAACACTTTAAAGTTTAAATAAACCGGGAGTGATCTCCCCTAAACTTTCTCGAATTTTCTTATATAAAATAACAGGGGATGGAAACTCGGGCTATAGACATGATTTTTAATCCATTTTAAATACTTAAAGTTTTAAAAATAGAATAAAATCTCGTAGACAAATTAATTGCACACCAAGTGAACGCAAATAAAAAAAGCGCATAATAGTGCGCAATATTATTAGTACTTTTAAAATTTACATTAGTTTTTTGAGAAATCGGAAGTAGCGTAAATTACTACTTCCAGTCAACGGAAATTACTCAAAATTTAACAGAAGGTAGAGAATTAGATCTTTTACTTACATGTGAAATTTCATTTATCTATCTGAAATAGTACTCAAGTTATAGGCTTTTAAAAAATTCAAAGTAGGAAAAGTACCACTTCCGGTTATCGGAAATCGCTCAAAAGTTGATACGGATCTACGATTTTGATAAAATACTTATATATGAAATTTCATCAACCTAGCTGTAACGGTACTCAAGTTATCGTGTTTACACACGGACACACACACAGACAGACACACACACACACAGACATACGGACAAGATTGCAAAATTATGTTTTTCCGTATCAGTGAGGTGTAAAACGTCGAGATTTGTAAAAATCTCGATTTTTTTTTTTGCACGATTACAATACTTTCTCTATACTACGTATATACGAGAAAGTAAAAATTACAATAGAGTTGCATGACTAAAAACCATTGCGCACCTAATGAACTTCATGACTCGTGCATAATAGTGCGGAATAGTTGTATAAGACTGCCCACTAATTTGGACAACATTTTAATTAGTTCATTAAAAAATATTTAGGCTACCAATTAAGTCAAATTTAATGTGAGATTGCATTTTCTTCATGTCTTGACCCACGTGCCAACATTGAAACAAATCTGTGTGTTAGCAATGTCCGAAATTTCGCTTGGGCTTTTTGATCTAGTTAAATAAAAGCTTGTAATAAAAGTAAAAGCTTATAAAAAGACAATTTTATTGTATGCAAGTTTTCATCAGCAATTCAAAACTATGGTAAAATTAATTATTATTATACTTGCTTAGCTGTCGATAAAGTCTCCATCATAATGTTATGTAAACGTGTCTTACCTAGTTCTCGATCTAAAAAATGTAAATCTAATCAATACGCATACACGTATACATTTAATGTAAGTCGAAAGCAGCGTACTAAAGCTTGCTTAAATAAGAAAAAATTACAATATTTCAATTAAATTGGCTTTTCCGTGTGTTATGGATGCGCAACGGAAAAATTAACAAAGAGTAACTATATGTGAACTTTAGCATAATAAAACATATTTTCAAGAAATATGGCAAAATTAAAGTGTATTAATATAATCAGTTTGTAGTTGTGCATTTTTTTTTTGCGGTTTTTTGTGCATTTTCGAGATTGCATATTTTTTTTAGATGTCGTTCTTTACACCAAATGCAAAAGATGATTCACACCAAATACAGCAGAAGATTAACTGTGAGTTCGATCCTGGATTTAAATGGAGTCAATACCAGAAATGAAAAGAATAGTAAAAAAATTGTCGCTATTGCAGTTTTTGCATCGATTTTACCGTAGATTTCTAGTTAAGCACTATACAAACAAAATGAAATGGAAACAAGTACAACTGACCTGTAGGCCCTAATCTTATTCCTACGTGTTTTTAAATTCCCAACGTTTTAAATAAACTTAAATAAACGAATTTACTTAGCATGACCTGGATAAAAATCATTTTTCTTGCACATAACTATGACTTAATTACAGTCAGCAATGTATCTTGGCAAAGCTACGCCCAAACGAATATCCTAAATGTGTTGTGGACCTAAATTAAATGGCTTCACCTGGTGAAATACAGCGCCCTCACCCCATCCTCATCACCTCCTATGTAAGTATACAGCTTTCTATAAAACATTATCTTTAAGACATTCATGATCTACGCTTTTGCGCACCAAGAATTTGGATCCTGCTTAATGGCGGTTATAATGACCGTACGCTATTATTTTTTTATTGAACGGATTTGACATTTTCAATGTTATTTCTACAACTTATATTTATTTACATTATTTGGCTCGAAATTGTAAAGTTTTATATTTATTAATGTTCTCAAGCCTAAAGGTAATACTAATGTTGAATAATGTATCAGTTAATAATAAAACCAGAACTACACGTTTATGATTTCTCATTTCTATGGTAGACCATCTAAATGTATAGCTTTTAAAAAACGTATTTGTATCTTAAATTAATTTTCTGTATCGTTCCATGACAGATAAGTTTTGTTCTTACTTTTTGTTTACATATGTGAGCAGTTTTTTTTTGTTGTCTAAGTATTTTTAATAATACCTGCAATGATGGGACTGCGTGATACGGTCGTAGAGCGCCAGATTCATCATTATATTTATTCGAGTGTGTCCAAGACATATATGGGGCAGACAAAGAAGATCACCTTGGCAAACAAATGGAAAATGTAGTCAGGACTATACTCAGCCAAATGTTTCCCTAACGTGATTCAGGTACCAAGCTGAGCTGAGTGGACATAGACTAAAGTCTGAGATCTAACCTCTACCACCAAACTACACCTTCACCAAGAGCGCTAGATAGCTAACACAAAACTCATACGTTCGTATATTTGACTCAAGTCTGTAGGACGTACCTGAGTTTACCCAGCTCTGATGGGCACCTGACCATACAATGTCCCCTGAGTTTACCCAACTCTGATGTGCACCTGACCATACAATGTCCCCTGAGTTTACCCAACTCTGATGTGCACCTGACGATACAATGTCCCCTGAGTTTACCCAGCTCTGATGTGCACTTGATCATACAATGTCCCCTGAGTTTACCCAACTCTGATGTGCACCTGACCATACAATGTCCCCTGAGTTTACCCAACTCTGAGGTGCACCTGACCATACAATGTCCCCTGAGTTTACCCAACTCTGATGTGCACCTGCCATACAATGTCCCCTGAGTTTACCCAACTCTGATGTGCACCTGACCATACAATGTCCCCTGAGTTTACCCAGCTCTGATGTTCACCTAATCATACAATGTCCCCTGAGTTTACCCAGCTCTGATGTGCACCTAACCATACGATGTCCCCTGAGTTTACCCAACTCTGATGTGCACCTTACCATACAATGTCCCCTGAGTTTACCCAACTCTGTTGGGT